TTTACCCTCAAACTCCCAGGGGCTTTGAGATGTCTCATAAATTCAGCTTGAGAAAACTGTATATTTTACAAGGAACAGAAAAGAAGCCTTTCTAATTTTTTTTTTGTATAGTTAAACATTACAGTTGAGTGCAAAAGTTTGCACACCCTTAAGACAAAATAAGGACGAGAAAGGAATTTGATTCAAGACATTTACTATATTTGGTTTCACAGATGTACCTTTATTATAATAAAACGATCAGTTATTGCATATTAAAATAGTTGAAGCAGATGTTTACATCTCCCTTTTTTCTGGTGTGACCTGAGCATCATTTAATAACTTCCATTGCCTTTATAACTTCCTTCAACCTCTTTCATATCCTCTGAGCAGCGTTTTCACCGTAACCCACACCCACTCTCTTCTTTTTGACATATCTGTTGTAACAGATGTCATACACTACCTTCTTCAAATCAGGTCTGGAGCCAGAACGGGTAACAGAACAACCTCTTTTCATTATTTTACCATATTTTTGATTGTTTACTTACTTGTTCTTAAACACACCTTCCATGTAATTTTCATGATTTTTCCTTGGAACTAAAGCAACTCTCATTCTTTTTCTTTATGTGAAAGATTGCTACATTTTTCTGCAGGTGTATTTTCTCTCTTTGGTGGCTGATCATTTTGTATTGGATGTGCCTGGAAGCGATGGAATGATATGCGGGAGAAGGGATTTGAATCTTCGGACTGTTATATAAGGTTAAAAGTCTATAAAAAGTCAAACAAGTGTGTGGTTCTCTTGTTACTTTGTGTGTAAAAGTGTGTGAGTGTTTTTCATTCCCAACACACTTCCATTGTCCTTGGGAAACCCTGTGGAAAAAATGAGTTTCGGTGGCAGCCGGCCATGAAAGCTGTCGTCTTTTCCCCCCTCATCTTTTTTCTCATTCTCCTGCTTTCTTACTCTCTTCTGACAGAGAGATATGGTCATGGAATCACTTTTTCCTTCCAGTGTGATGTGATCTTTGCCTCTGGAATGGTGGAGGCACGTATATGCACACACACACAGGCACGCACACACACACAGGCACACACACACACACTTACACACACACACACATACACACACACACACCCACACAGACTCAGTGATTAGTTTGAGCGTGTATGGGTTCAGGATGTTTTGTCTGTGACCCTGTAAGTGTTTCTGTGGAGAAAGTCACATAACAGGAAACTTGTTTCCTCTTGAATTAAATGAAATAAGCGAGGAAGCCGTGTGCTTTCTCCCACCACTCTTTCCCTCCATAACTGTAACTGTTAGGGCTCCTCTTTAAAAGAGGCTTAGGAGAAGACCACACCCGACACATCACCTCCCTTGTAGCTAACTTCTCCTAAGTTCTCCTATAACTACATCTCTGCCTGCTACTCCCTGTCAAAAAGCTTTCACCCCACACCACCTCACTGAATCCTCCCTTCTCCTCCTTATATCCACATCTCTCAAGAGAAGGTCCAGCTATTCTAAGTGTTTTATTCCTCTTATTCTTACTCTTACTTTTATCCTCTTATTCTTATTTTTGTCCAGTATAGTTCTATTTTGAAGTTAATAAGCCAAAAAAATTGGAGCTTACCATGTTACCATGGAACCGTAAGGCTTTCTGTCCTGTGTTGGAGAACTTTAAAGGAACAGTTTTTTTTGTCTCATTGTTACAAAACGCTGACACTGGAGACAGAAATTCAAAATAAATGTCTCTTCCCAGAAAATGTAATCATATCAACAATTACACAATTTTGAAAAATCTGTTTATGTGGAAAGTCCTGAATTACAAGTCCCTCTTTAAGTTGTTAATATAGAAATGAAAACATTAAAATGAGTGCATCAATTATAAATCTTGCATACTGTATACAGTATATACAGTGTATATACAGTGGGGCCCAAAAATCTGAGACCACATTGAAAATCTGGGATTTGTTTTCATCTAAAAGTGGAAATGAACAGAATGTTTTAGAATTTTGAACTAGTTAAAACAAAGAAAGTAAATGTTCAATATCTTGAATATTTAATATTCAAGATTCTGCACTATTTCTAGGTCCCTATTTAAATCTAAGCAAATGTGTGATATTGACCATGTTAACTGTTTTGTACAAAAGTTCAGATTTTCCTCATGCATAATCTCATTCTACTGAAGCATGTGTTCAGATGACACTCTGATGGATTTGATCTAAAATGGATCATAAGGTTTTGCACTTTATGTGGAGTCCATGCCAGCTCGAGTGCACACTGTCATTACAGCTAAAAGTATTCATACAAATACTAAGAAACTCGGAAATTCATATAAATATTTAAAAGATTCTATTTTTCACTCAAGTTGTAATATAATTTGTAATGAAAATTGTTGTATTAAATTAGAAAAGTGCTTTTTTGGCTTTTTGGCTTTTGAACCCCACTGCAAAAATGATATTATAAGATTATCATAAATCAAATATAAGTTTATTCAGCCTGCTTTTAGATACATTTACTCATATCAAGCTTTGTCTTATTAATCTGTTGGCAGATAATTTTGCTTCTTTCTAGAAATAAATATTTAAAATTAGAAAAATTATCTGCCAATAGAACTAGAAGACTATTTCAAGCTTGCAATAAGTAAAAATGTCTAGAAATAGGTTTAATAATCATTAGAGATGGCACAATATACTGATACTGATACTGAAACCTTGAGTTTCAGGCAATTCCAAAACTCATCTGATATTATTTTCTTTAAAAACTACGAAGCTTTAAAATATATATATTTTTTTAACTGAAGCACTTAGCAGTTAAACTCTTTTACCTAAAAATTACTTATATTGTAAATGTAATAAACACTGCATAATAAAGTATAAATATAATAAAAAATCAATCCTAACAAAAGAAAAAACAACAGTCAAGTGTCCTTATATTCCAGATTCAAAAATACATTCCAAATCCAATTCCAATCTTTACGATTTGTCACAGGATCCAATATCTTATATAGTAAGTTTCCTCAGATATCTGATCCACCATTTTTTGCTGGTATCAGCCTGATAACGATACTGGCTAGCGGATCGGTGCCATCTTTAATAATCATATATTTGGTTTATTGTATCTTATAATAGAAAATACTAGATAAATTGGATCATATTCAAGATATTTTGACGTGCTTAGATGTCGTTTTTTGCAGCGTAATAATGATTTGCTTTACAACGTTCTCTTTAACACACAAATTAACATTACAAAAAAGTTTGTCTAACAACGTTGACACTACAGTATGTTGTAGGAACATTTATGTACAGTACAAATGTCCTAAAATCATGCTGACATCCTGACAGATTCTTAAAATCAGCTAATTTGCTAGCTGGGAAATACTAAGAGATATAAATACAGTGATTAAAACCGTGTTATTACATTGAAGGTTATTACATTACTTCTGGAACATTCAAGCACACTGGAGAAAACCCAGGTTCTACAGGAGACTTTTTTTGTCTGACAAGACATGTGATCTCTCACCTCAGGTCAAGTTGAGAAAGCGGTTACAGTAAAAGAAGAAAAAAGTTGGACGTAAGAGGAAAATATGTTCAATGATCCAAAAGTCCATTTCAATAGACTACACCCTTTCAAGTTTTCAGATCATGATCTTTAAAGGTATCCATGCATTACTAGCAGACATGTTGTGTTTTAAACAAATCAGGTGTTCCTTTTCCAAAAACAATGAAGGTCTTTATTCAAAGCCTGGGCGTTCAGGTCCACTGGAGGAAATCCAGAGCTGTGTCTGATATATCAAAGAGGTTCTTTTGTGGGACTTGCTATCTGATCTCTAAACTGTCAGCCAGTTATGAGAGCAGATAGAGTCAAAGTCCAAAAGAAATAAGCAAAGCTTAGCTACATGGATTGTGTGCATGTGTGTGTGTGTGAGAGAGAGAGAGAGAGAGTGAGGTTTCTGGGTTACAATGTTTAACTCATGCCTATGCTATCTCGTGTATAAGCCTGCTGTCTCACATGGCCTGTGTGTGTGTGTGTGTGTGTGAGTCCTGCTTAATGTCTGTCAGCTCATTGCTTGTTTATTGTTTTGAGTTCAGATCTTTCCTCTGATATGAACATCATGTGCTCCATTTCTACAATTAACTTCTAAGCTCCAGGGTATGAAGACCTTTTGGTGTGTGTGTGTGTGTGTGTGTGTGAGTGTACGAGATGTCTTTCTATAAAGCAGTCCTGCACTTCTGAATGAGGTTTTACATAATTTATGTGCTTGTTTATACAGAGAAGACTTCATGGCACCTATGGTGTATATTATTGATGATACAATGTTCTGTATTCAGTATGAATCTGATATACAAGTGTCCAGTACGAGGTAATGTTTATTAGCACGTTTATACTGGAATTGAATAGGGTGTCTCCTGGACTATGGTGCAAAGTAGAATATAATGAAGGGCTGTGAGTAAATCACAAAGAATTGTATGCTACTCTTTAGAAACCTGCACAAAAAAAGTAAAAAAAAAAGTTCTATAAAAGAATGGAGACTAAGTTTGTATTTTTGGCTATGTTAAAAACTGACTGACCAGCTATAAAACAGATCATAATACACAACCTCTAAATAAAACAAAGAATAAAACAAAGAATTGTGCTTTTTTAGACTAGACTTGACATGAGAACAGTTGCCTGAATCAACAACAGAGAACACAACTCACACCATATACAATACACAAGAACGATGCAGGATGCAGAACAACACAAGGAGACTGCGAATGAGAATAAATGAACCAGTCGCCAAAACTGTACAAACCTGATCAATGACGGTGGCTTTGTAGATGCAGAACTAATGTTAGAAGTCTATTATGGACATCTGTCTACTGTAGGATCAGGATGCACTTCCTGGTTTCCTTGTAGAGCAGTAGGTGCTCAGGTCAGGTCCTGATGATCCACCGCCCTGGAAAGGATGTTTCCAACACGCATGGTTCTAACATTCAGGTCCTCCTAAAAGCACTGAGTAACAGGGAGCAGGTGTGTTAAATTAGGGGCAGTTGTGGCCTAATGGTTAGAGTCTCGGACTTGTAACCCGAAGGTGAACCATGGGTTCGAGTCTCAGGTCCGGCAGGGATTGTAGGTGGGGGGAGTGAATGACCAGCGCTCTCTCCCACCCTCAATACCACGACTGAGGTGAGACCCTTGAGCAAGGCACCGAACCCCCAACTGCTCCCCGGGCGCCGCAGCAAAAAAGGCTGCCCACTGCTCCGGGTGTGTGTTCACGGTGTGTGTGTGTGTGTGTGTTCACTACTGTGTGTGCACTTGGATGGGTTAAATGCAGAGCACAAATTCTGAGTATGGGTCACCATACTTGGCTACATGTCACTTCACTTAAAAGGATAGATAGACTTAACACTCTTGGAGGTAGATCACCAGGACATGAGACTAGAGGTCTTCTCCAGCCAGTTGTTAATAAAAAAAAACACTTTTGACAATAGACTTTCTTACAAAGCAACTATACAAAAATCCAGATGTAGCTTTAGATCCCTAATATGCAAACCAGAAGCAACACTGGCAAGGAAAAACTCCCTGAGACAGCATGAGCAAGAAACCATGAGACTCGAAACCGAGCCCATTCTCTTCCTTACTTGCCAATGGAAAGTGAGATGGTGCTGGGATTTTATTGGTGTTGGAGTTGGAATTAAGAGCCTTGAAGAGATTCTCTGCAACACCCATACCAAGAAACTAGAAGATTTAATTATTGCCACATTGATGAGACCGCAATCAGCGTCACCACTGCTGGTCCTTCTTAAGTCAGCAATCATCTTTGTTTTGTTCATAATAAGAGACTGATTGTTATTTCTACACCATTCCACAAGCCTCGCCACCTCCTCTCTGTGTGCTGGCTCACTGCTGTAGCTGATGAGGCCCACCACTGCTGGTGCCATGAGGAAAGTTGATGATGTGGTTTGAGCTGTGCTGGGCAGAACTATTGTGACTCGGCAGAGTGAACAGCAGTGGGTTGAGAGCACTGCTATTCGTGGTCTGTTTTGGAAAAGCAAAAATTAAAGGGCATCATGCCAAGGATGATGGAAATGCTTTTACCCAAAGTGACTTACAAGTGAGGATGAGTACAATCCCAGTTGCTGTTCGACGATTCAACAGCTATATAAAGATCAATTTGTAGGTCCACCAAGGGAGCAGAAAGAGAACAGAAAAGCAACGACTAAACAAAACAGTTAAGTAAGAGTAGTACTGTTAAACAGGAATGCTAGAAATATTATTCACAAAGCTATCAGTTGAGCTACAGATTATATAAACATTCATCACCAGTGCCTACTTTATCCTTATCAGAGCCATGGCGGAACCAGATGTGGTAAAAATTGACACCCACTGGACAGGACTCGCCTAGTCAACTGCATGACAACTTGCGCACTAAATTGCTAATGTCTAATGTGGAATCTCTATAAACCTACTATTTGTGATGGAACACACCCTGACAATGAACTATATATAGTTGGGCAAATGTCCATTTATTAGTCTGTAACACAGGTTCCCAAACCTAATCCCGGAATGCCCCTAAAATCCTGTGCATTTTAGTGTTTTTCCTGCTCAAACACACCCAGCTCCACTCAGTAAGGGCTGTTAATTAGCTGATTAGTTGTAGGCGGTGTGTTCCTGCAGGGAAAACACTAAAATGTGCAATGTAAGCTGGAGTTCGGTTTCCTCCAACCCCCCAAAAACATGCTGGTAGGTGGATTGGCTACACTGAAAAAAAAAAAAGCTCATTGACTTTACTTAATTCAAATGCATACATCAGATCCACGTGATTGAATTGAGTTACATTAACACATTATTACGTTTTTGTACATCCAGCATGATTTGATCATGTATTTCCAAAGTCCTGAATATCCATGATCTAACCTGAACTGAGGCTCAAACCCAGGTCACTGGTATTCTGCAACAGCTGCATTACTGCTGCACTATCCTACCACATGTTTTAATCGCTTTATTTGAATACTATAGTTACAGTTCCTGTCAGTGCCAACATCCTGGTTTATGTTAAACAAATTAGTCTACGTTAATACTTCATGCTCGCTCTTCATAATGAAATCACGTTTTGATGAGAAACTATGTGTAAGTGTATGCTAAATTGCCCATATGTGTGAGTGTGTGTGCATGGTGCCCTGCAATGGACTGGCATCTTATCCGGGGTGTATTCCCGCCTTGGGTCCAGTGTTCCCGGGATAGATTCTGAATCCGGTATGATAAAGCGAAGATGAATAATGAGTAAAATGAACTTATGAACAGTCTGTACTTAAAAATCTCAAAACAATGCAGTCTTTACATCTGTCATTTCTTCCTCTCTCTGTCTTTCTTTTGCTTTCTGACCACCAAGCCCAAAATGCCCAAGCCCAAAAGGTCAGAACGTCAAATTTCCAGCATTACACATTTTCTCCTTTTTCTTTTATCCATTAGAGAAGTTGTGTGCACATTGTGTGTGTGTGTAGGAGGAAGATTTCTGAATGCTTCTGGAGTCAAAGTGTTATTGAACACAGTGGCTTTTGTCTTTGCCTCCTCCAAGAGGATCATGGCGACTATCTTGACTCCTCCAGGCTTGAAGAAGCGCATTGTTTGGTTGGTTATCCCGAGCAACACTCGGCCATCGCTTAGCATCTGAAACAAACGCACTGACAGACACAGTCGAGGAACAGGCGCTCGCTTTTATAATACAAGCTGCCTGGCTGCATCCCAGACCCATTTCTCCTCCTGATGCTCTCTGAGTGAGAGAGATAGGGATAGAGTGAGAGAAAAAAAGGGTGTGTGTGTGAGAGAGAGAGAGAGCGAGAGAGAATATGTACGCTGGTGGAGGGATGTGTGGTACAGTTTGACTCTTAGTCTAAAAGTGTGACTTACTTTCCTTACGTCTCTCAGAAAAAGATCACTTCCACTATAACAAGTTCCTGGTATAGGACGTACTGAAAGCATGATGTTCTAAAGCAAGATGTAGATGCATTATGTGGTCTTGAATTTTCAGTGGTGTGTCAGTGTGGTGGAATTCCAGGAACATGGCATCAATACCGCCTGCAGTTCCCAGCATGCACAGCAGACACACTTAGCTCACAATACCCTTCATTAAGTGTGTTTGAGTCCAATCAAATGTTCTTCTCAAAAAAGAATAAAGACATGATTCACTCAAATCAGAACTAAAGAAATAAACAGACACAACTAAATCAGAACTGAATGATTCAAAAGAATTGAATGATTCAAAGAGATCAGAACTGAATAACTCAATCAAATCTGAACCAAATGATAAAAAACCCAAATTTTTCTAATACAAACAAATAAATCAGAACTGATTCAGCCAAATTATGAAAAAACACAAATGATTCAGTTAGAATAAATGAACTTAATTGAATGATTCAAACAATAGAAGTGAATGATTAAATAAATAAGAACTAAGTGATTCAAACGAATATAAAAATGACTCAAATAGGTAAAAGCAGAAAGATTCAGATGAATAGACTCAAATGATTCAAATAGATTAGAGCTAAATGTTTTAAACAAATAGTAGCAGATGAATCATATACATCAGAATTAAATTATTTAAATGAGCAGAACTGAGTGAAATGGATCATAATTGAATCATTCAAATTAATAGCACCAAATTATTTAAATAGATTAAATTAAGTGATTCATTGAATTATTTAAATAGATCAAAACTGAATAATTCAAATAGATTTAAGCCCTACGATTCAAATGCGATTCAACTGAACAATTTAAATGACCAAGTGATTCAAATAAATCCGGACCCATTAAAAAAGTTAATATTATATTAAGTGGTAGAGAGAGTGTTTATTGCAATGCTCACTCTACCATTAAACAACAATCTTTGTCAATCTTTGATTCTTTTGTAAAACTGAACCCAGAACTGAATCATTCAAATGAATATGACTCAGATGATTCAAATAGAAAGTCGTCATAATAATCTGTCGGGAAGGTGGATCTGTAAATAATAGCGGTGTGGTTTGGATAAAAGGCTGTCTGAAAAGTGTGTCTTTATGGAGCTTACTGTAATCTGAATTTTCATGCAATCAGTCATGGATACGCAAATAAAGACCCTCTTGACTCCTCAAACTCCTAAAAAAACAAAAATGGGTGTCAAGTGTTACGCAGTTAAAAGCTAGTGGACCAGACTTGTTCCTACATGTTGATTAGTGTGTGTGTGTGTGTGTGTGTGTGTGTGTAACATGATCCTTCATTGCTTTTATATGGACTTTGAGGCCTGTGTATTTTGCATAGACACAGGAGCGGTAACAATAATAGAACTGTGCAACAGGAAGGGTTGTGCTATGATTATTTGTGTCTGTCTGTCAGGGTGGACGTGGTGTGTGTGTGTGTGTGTGTGTGTGTTTTTACATGTTTGGCCACTTTTTAAAACTGAGTAACATTGTTTCCACACAACAGGTTTTATTAGATTCAAGATCGATGTCAATGTGGTACAGCTGTTAAACAGCTGTGTTTTGTGAGCAGCAGTGTTTTTCATCACATCTTCTTCCTGCTTTATAAGACATATGATTCTTTTTATCTCTTTTTCTCTGCTCTAATGTGCCTTCTTCATTAAAGGGATACTCCAGTGTTTTTCAGCATGATCTCTGTCTAGCACATACTGCTATTGCAAAAAAGAACAGAACATTTTCTGGGCAAATATCTAAGGGCAGTTGTTGAATTCCAACTATAAAGGTTTAAACTATACAACTATATAATGCAGACTGAAAAAGTACAACAACTGGACCCTAACAAAGTCTAGAGATGAGACCAACACGAGAACCAAAGCTGTTCATATGTAGTTTTGTTCAGCTTTGTGACACTAGAGTGAGAAGGTTAAAGTAAGTAGTTAGAATTCTCAAATCTGGTCAGAAGTTGATTTATTTTCTATAACAGCAGCTCTGACAGTAGTGTGTGGTTAAAAGTAGGCTACAACTATAACTCTCCTATAACAGCATACTTTAGTTTAATTTGCAAATACCTTTGGCTGATGAATACCTTTATTCAACGTATGCACTATGCAAAAGTATGCTCTTTGCAGGAAAAAACTAATTCAACTGCCCTTAAACTTCCATTCCATC